AGGGCTTCACTCCGAGCTAATCAGGATGTGCCCTGCCCAGGCCAGGCACCCCGACCTAACAACAACAGATCTGGGTTGCCGGCATGTCTATGATTGTGCAGCAATCCTTGGCTGTCACAGTATCCCCATGCTGCGTTGTGTGTTTTGCATCATCACATGTCATCACGGTACATGGTATGTTATGGCATCATTGGCTAGATGATGGAGGGGCGATGGAGGGTAGGTTGGAAAGGGAGGGCCTGGATGGAGGGAAGGGCCTGAATGGAGGGGAGGCTGGCAGACGGGAGGCTGGCCGACGGGAGGCGGGGAGGGGCCAGGTTCACTCAGAAAAATAATCCACCCTCTTTGAACCCCTGCCCCCCGCTGCAATCATGTCTGGCCCTACCTGGATGACACCTTTTGCAATCATCTCTCCTACAGGTACCCTCCATCTCAGTCCAAGAAAGAGGATTTGAGCAGAAATCAAGAGATGGGCCCTGCACAAACAATAACGCAACACAGGAAACTCATTGCACTACCTCACTTCCGCAACCAAATTCCCCACCCCTTGCCTACAAACAAGCGCGCAAGTAGCAGAGCGCCACTCATGAAAAACTTCATGCAGCGCAATTGAAACAACCCGACGAGCCACTCTGCTTGATGGTGACTGCGGGGACTTCTCGAAATGGAGGTGGACTACAAGCATATTCTCATTCTGGTGAAATTGCATGTGAGGAGTTATCAAAAATGTAGTCTATCAGGGTCTGTCCGTGGGTGCCCTAATTACTGAAAACACTCATGCAGTTTTGTCATCATCGCAACAGGGCGAGCCTTCTGCATTCTGCTCCCATCCACATGGGTGCTTCCCTAAATTTGAAATGGAGGCTCCCTTTTCGAGAATCTATACGTAACCGATTAGAATATGTTGGTGTCTATGTGAGAGCTTCTCAAAACAAACCTATACAATCCCCAATAAGGATCTCCATAATCCCATATACGCTTGGGGTGCTTAGGGCCTGCCTTCTTGAAAAACTCCCGGCCCCTCAGTTACGGAGCACTGTAGAGGTCGACGGCTCGAAGCCAAGTTGCGTGCTGGTGCGGAACTGTAGGATGTGCAAATCCAGCTATATATGGATGGGCGGTACAGCCAGACCCAGGCATGCCACCCAACAGACCTAACATCCTGTCTCTTTCTTCTTCATGCAGATTGAGTGCAGAAAGAGCGCCAAGAGTAGTTCTATGGCCTTCCTGAAGACGTCAAACTCATCATTAATACGAGTTGCGCTGCTTCAACCGACTGCAACTGAAAACAGCATGCCCGCATGCACAGAGGAACCCTCTTGCTTAGGAACTTGCCGCGAGAGAACATATTCGTGACCTCACCAGCAGGACTTTCTGCCAGTGACTACACACTGAGCCCCAGGACATTTGCCCGGTTTTAAGAACTCAGTGGTGCTACTCAAGCCACACGGATGCTCAAGAACCTGCGTTTCATGTAGAACACCTTAAAGACCAGTCTGCCCCAGAAATCTCCAAGGCAAGGCAAGGCCAAATAGAACACCTGTGCTACGAAATGCATGACGAGCTAGGCACCTTGCCGAAGTCAGCACGTGAATAGCTGCTTGGAGATGAAATCAGGACACTGCCAACAGTGTGCAAGGCACAAAGCTGCAGCACAGACCGCAAAGAACAACGTTCACAACTCAAGTGCTACATGGACATTGTTTCCAGCTCAGTTTACGTGCTGTTTGGATTTGGTCGGGTAGCGATGGAATCATGAGGTACCTCCTAATTACGGGGTGAAGTATGCAGTCCTAGAACCCTCTCCAATCCCCCTCCAATCTCCACAATACATGACGTAAAACAGAATTAAATGTTCCAAAAGGCATGCTGGCAGCACTAAGAGTAAGGCAGCCAAGAATCTCCGAAGGATCCCACCAATTTGATCAACTGCAGGCTTTCCAGGAATCTCACGACGTCAGCCTCGTCGGGCTGTGAACCCAGGAAGCCCCGTCAATGTAGTGGCCTAACTGCCTACAGTAGAACAGGCCTCTGGGAAAAGCATCTTAGAACTACCGATGCCAGAAATACAGGGAAACCTCGGGAATCATCTTGCCTCCTAGAAAAAGTATCTGGCAGCTTGGGGCCTGGAATATGGAATTGCCTCTGCGAGCTCACGACACATGCCACCTTCCTCAAGTAATCCGATTATCTACTAGTGGGATACTTTGGGCAAGGGCAGTCTCGAAAAGGCTCACGAAGGTGTATTAAATGTTAAGTTTAGGCTTAGCTGTTGACTGCTTCTGAACCCCGCTCTCACAGACTTCAAAACTTGGGCTGTGATGAATACTTTGAGGCAACACGAGACGAGATGCAAGCTATGATTTTGGAATAGGACTTGGAGTTCTTCGCATCCATGAGCAACCTAGGATTGCCATGTTGAGCCGTCGTAGTAGTCTTTCACTTGAAAGTCTGAAACAACCTGAAAGGAGTCATGCTCTAGACCCTGGCCCTGAACTCCAAGCAAAAGGCCAGTGCACTGACACAATGCAGCGCTGACAGAAATATATATATATATACATACAGAAAGCATCGCCCGGGGGCCCCAGTTTTTAGTGTTTCCGAGAACGCACGAAGTTATACCTATATACGCGAGAAGGGTACCAGACAGGCAGGAATGGGAGGACTACAACATAAATATATATATATATGTCCCCCCCAAATCCACATTTTGATTAACCCTTCCTGTCTCAAATACTTCGTTGTGATGAAGCTCAGTCTCATTTTTGCTCTACATTTACACCCCCGCAAAGCCGACATTTCTAATTTGCTTGCCCACCCAAATCTACATGCTTTATATGTTTAATCTCTCTGTCTCAGGCACTCTGTGCAAAGATCCATCATAAGCTTCACCTTAAAAGAAAAACCACAAGGACGCTACTGCGAACTCCACACACATATCTTTCCTGAGGACCTTCAATGAAGTTTCTTAACAAGCATGCCGATTTAGATGCCCTCCCCTGCTCACACAACGATCACGAACCAGATGTCCTTGCATGCAGCATCAATGAGACTCTTTAATCAGGATTTCCAATCAATCGATTACTAGGAACTTGGATGAAACTCCTATTGTGATGAGAATTTCACATGAAAGCTGGACCACTCATCAATAAGAAGCCTCAGTAAACCTCATCAGCCAAGATCCCTATGAGTTTGACTAAGAGGGACTCTTATTAGAGCAGGACTCCTATTAGGACCTTTGATAGAGATTTGAAGAAAATGGTAAAGTGGCACCCCAAACTAAAGATGGACCCCAAGTGAAAAAGCTCCCAATGTGGATGCTTCAAAGACTTGATTGTGGGAACCTCGAGTCAGACTCCTAATAATAAGAACCTCTGCCGACGATTCTGGAACAAGATCCTACATTGAGAACCCAACATGAATGTTCATCTCAGATCCAAACAAGACTTCCAACAACCGATGAGTCAGACTAAAGAATCCGTGATGAAGATATTAATGAGGACTTCTGACGTGCGTTTGTTGGAAGGTTTCAACAAACAATCTCTCATGCGACCCCTACTCTAGTTGAAACTCAAACTAATACCAACCCTTGTGCAGCCTGACGTTCCAGAAGTGTTGTACTGTCCCAAAATGTGGCGTAGGAGAATTGTAGCGGGGTTCCGTCTCATTTTCGGAAGGGAATCTTACCAGGCTCTTTATTTCCTGCTTTGAACTAGAACTATGAAGACCTCTAGCAGACTCTAGCAATTTAAGGTGCATTTCTTATGAAAAGACAAGGCTTGCGAGTTTCCATCGCACTGATATGAGAGCCGACTGGGGTAGTTTTGGAATCCGCAATGGCTGGTTAACAGGCTTGTATACGCATGCTTGTTTACGGAACAAATATATGGAGATTGCTTTTTATAAGTTACGAGGGATCTGCATATATGATGTAGGATGTTATGAGTATTCGAACTCTTTCTTCTATCCGGGGGGACGGCATTAGCAGTCGCCCCATCTATGAAGTGGCTAACTATGTGGAAACCCTCATCAAGCTGCAAGTGGTCTGCTTTTGGAACCATACAAAGATTATTCCCAAGTCAGTACTAGTTTGCGACATTCCAGACTTTCCAGACAGGACTTTGGTCTGGGCTTCGGATGACCTCTGTAGACTTTTGACATACGGGGTTTTCAGATGCATGAATATGAGTTCCCTCATGTATTCTAGTCTTCCTTTCAAATCAAGACCCTGCCTGAGCTTCAAGAATTTTACATGTACAGATTTGCGGAGTACAAAATTCCTAGTATACAGGTTTCCAGATTCCCTCTAAAATTCCAGATTTCTTGAATTCCAGAATTCCTGTTTTGTCAGGCCTTATAATTCCAGAATTCCAGATTTGCGGGGCCCGATAATTCCAGATTTGAAATTCTGGAATCACCAGATCGTGAAAATCCGGAATTCTGGAAATCTGGAATTTTGCAATTCTGGGATTCTGGAGTTCTGCAACCCTGGACTTATGCGAGTCTGGAAATCTAGAGGTCTGGAATAGTAGGTCAACATTTTTAGCGCGCAGGCCATCTTGTTTGCTAAGATAAAGTGTTTTTTGGCGGATAGCAGATGTATATATATGTATATACATCATGTATCGTATATCATATATGTGGCCCGGGGGCGGGGGGGCTGCGGAAAATTACCAAGCAGATTCAATATCTCAACCTTTGCATGACCAAATGATCCCAAGGTCATTAAAGAGGTAACCCTGAATAAGCGCGCCACCAAAAGCTACAGTATGAGTCCCAGCAGGCCCTGTGAACTGCCACGTCTTGTGCCTTCTTCCCATCCACATAGAAGGCGATCATGTTCGTATGGCATGCCGTCATCCTAGGGCCGTTGGAACCATCCACGAAGCTGCAAAAGAAGCTGCAGGCTCGTCTGTCTAAAATCTTCCAAAAGCAGGCCAGCATCCCAGCCGATTCTTCACATCCGAAGAAGTGAACCTTGCTTATCCTGAGGTCGGCGTCTAAAGCGGCTGCAAGTCTTCGAGCGTTTGACACCATGACGTCCATGCGCGCTTCCTTGGGAAGCAGCTTGTTGCAGATAACCCCTCTGACATCACAACCTCATAAACAAACATGGTATGGCAAAAGTCCATGCATGAGTTGAGCCGCATGCGGTGTTGCACTGTGGGGCCCTTCAGCTACCAAGTTCAGGATGACTAGTCAGGGGCGGGCTCCTTAAGCTGTGAATGCGCTACCCTTCCTGCTTGCATGTGGTACCAATCCTTTGTCAATCTAGATCGTGACTTCCTCTTCTGTCCCTGTCTGCACTTAGCATGGGAAGTTACTTCCACTAATCCTCACATGTGCCTGATGATGATTCAAAAAACAAGAAATTCATGAACAAGGCCAATTATTGAGACATGATGAACATGATGAAAAACGCAACAAGTTGTGAAAGATGACGGAAACTTTTGAAAATTCTGAGAGCTGATGGAACATTGTGACCCATGATAGAATCTGTTGCAAACTGATGGAAGGTGATCAAAACTGGAAGTGATGAAAATGACCGAAACAGTTAACACAATGATGAAATCATGGAAATGATGCCTTTCAAACGCCGCAAGTGTTGCAATTTGCAGTGGCCGTAGCCTCGTAAGAGCTCCAAATACTGTAATTTTGAAGTATTCGTAGCCTAGCGAACGTTGTAACTTGCAATATTCGTAACCTTTCAACATGTAGTAGCGATAAGACTAAAACTGTGGTCAATAGTAATAACAATAGCAATGCTAACAATAAAAAATAGTAGAAAAGTCAAAGAAGCTAGGAAGCCAGGAGGCCACAAAGCAAAGAAGCCAGAAAGCCAAGGAAGCCAGGAAGCTGGAAAGCCAAAAGAGGCCAGGAAGCCAAGAGAATGAGCCAAGAAGTCAGAAGGAGCTAGAAATGCTGTATTTACACTGCTTGCAGCCTTTCCCGCTCCCAAACTCTATAAACTGCAGTAATTGGGCGTTTTTTGTTTGATGCTCGTTCATTTTACTATTGATGTTGATGTCCGTTTATTCTCATGGCCGCTGTGAGGCTTTCAAATATTCTTCTGCCTTCTGCAGTTTAGTGAAGTCAGAACTCCATATCAGGTCAAGCCCATTGGTGCACCTCACATGGATCATCTTGAGTTGTAAGACTCTATAGGACCCTGAATTGCTAAACCTGTAAACCCTCAAATTCTCCATCTTCCATCCAAGCCTCGTAGGTAAGCAAGCTACTGATCGCCAGATCGCAGTCCAGCCGTGCGGGGCTGTTACCAAGTCGCCCGCGAGCCTGCGCATCCGGTTGCAAAGGTCCGGCAAAGGTAGGTTCCAGCAGGTTGCATGGACTTTGGGAGATAACATGTCGGGCCTGGACACAATCCACGAAACGGTCGAGCTCAAGTTGGACTGCGCATGTTGGAATTTGAAGTCCAGCTGTCTAGGTTTATGTCTGAACCACAAACCAGGTAACCAGCACTTTTTGAGGCGCTTGCTATTGCACAGCTATTGCCAACTCGCCAGTCCAACCAACGAGCCTCTCATAGTCGCTACGCAGTCTGATCAACTGCCATACCCCCTACAGAGCAAAATATTCTGTAACCGCAAGAAAGCAATGGCGTTGTGTATCACAGCAGTTTTGCAAGATGGTGCCCTGAGCATCACCGTCCTGAAGCCAGGCTTCGATCCGTGAGCCGATGAAAACCTGCTCCTCCGATGAAAACCTGCTCCTTTTCGAGTCTGTTCTGAAGGCCAAGCAAGAGGTGCTCAGGGCGACTGCCACAAGTACATGTCGGGCTTCGCCTTTCTTTCTGCCAGTTCACATAGGTTTCCGACTTGCATGGCCAATGCAGCAGCACAAGGTCTCTATCTGGACATCCCAGCATACCGTTGCTGCACGATGCAAGCAACAAGCAATGGAATGCCCAGGGTTCAGAGCAAGTTAAGGGTTTACAGAAAAAGGATCTCCAAGTTCGTCACTAGGACAATGCAGGATTCTTCCGGAGATGATCGCCTTCTCACAATAGAGATAACCTTGGATCCTTTGCGGGTCGGGGTAGTCGTTTAACCCTTGATCGCGGGGAGATTCAAGGTTTTCAGGGTGTTGGGCGTGGGGTGATTAGGCGGCGCTTGGAGTTACAAGAACTCCAGGCTTGGAAGATGACTGACCCGGCTGTGCCTCCAACAGGCCATCATGCATTTGCACGGAAACCGTGTGCAGACAGCACCAAGCCTGGGCCGAGGAATGTTGTTTTTGAAGTATCTTCTCTGACCAGGCTAATACCGAACACCATGCGTTTTGCAATAGCCAGCTGCCAGCATTCGCTCTGCTGCGGTACCCTAAACTTGAGAATCGGGATAGATCTGGGTGTTTCATAGCTGGGTGGGGTTCCCTGTCAACTTTGTAAAGACTTCCGCAAGAAAGCCGCCAAACCTGGCAGCTTTCAGCTGCATTCCAGTTTAGCGAAGGTTTGTTTGCCCACGACGTGCAAATCCCAGGCGCCAGCTTCTGCACATCCGAGCTTCCAACAAAGGCATTGGAAACACTTTCCAAATGTATCAGCTGTCCAACTCCCCCACGTCGCGCCTTGCGAGAAGTAGCCCGAAAATCCATCTTGGGGGTGGAAGAAGCCCGACATCAACGAGATGTTAGGAAATGCCAGAGATGGAGGGATCGACGACCAAGGATGCTGCGGATGCTGGTCCAAAACCTCTTGCTCTGGCTTCTGAGACTGTTGCTCTTAATCCCTTGAACAATTCTGTATATCAGAGACCAGCGGCAGGGCTAGCCCATGCCGCTAGGCTTATACAATTGCCACAAGCTTTGGCTGTTCGAGGCTGTTGTCTCCGTAGTTTTGCATTGGAGGTGAGGTTGCCGAACTCCCGTGCTCGGTGGACACCTCAACGCCATGAATGAGCTTGGATGGTCTATTTGGGCGAGGCGCACATAGTGGGAGGATATGTGAGATGCCATGAGATTACCATGAGTCATATGAAGCTTCATGAAAGTTCTCCTGGAGAGGTGATCAAAAAACTTTTTACAATCAGAAAACTTTTTCCTGACCACCAAAAACATTCTGACAATTATATCGATAAACTCTTTTGTGAAATGCTGAACTGGCTGTGGTTTGTGGCACTCGTGGAAAGGGGTGGCAATACTCGCAACTGTCGTCGCTTTCGGCCCTCGGATCCTCTTGAAGTTTGAAAATGTCAAGAGTCACAGAGACTGCGGGGGTCGCTCTTGCGATCCTCGTAACTAGCGGGGGTCGCTCTTGCGATCCTCGTAACTAACAGATCCTCTCGGAATTTTAAAAGTGTCAACAGTCACAGGGAATGTGGGGGTCGGGCTCGTGATCCTTGTAATGTGGTGGGCCTGATCAGTGTGGGCCCCCCCCGCAAACGAATAGGGGGTCCCTTATAGTGTAGGGGGGGTACCCCCCAAACAATCCATGGTCTTTAGGTTTTAATGAAAAGGGATCAAGATCGGCTCGGATCCGAGGCTTAAATTAAAGTCAATAGGATGGATCAGGATCGGCTCGGATCCGAGGCTTAAATTAAATTCAATAGGATGAGCAGGATCGGCTCGGATCTTAGGTTCAATTTGAAAGTAATTAATAGGAAGGATTAGGATCGGGGAAGCTTGGCTTTTAAATGCCGAGCCCTTAGAAGTAGAAGGCTTTAAGCCTTCTGCGATTTTTAGGGTCCCCCGATTTCACGGATAATTGAGGCCCCAACAAACATTCGCATTATTGAAGCCCTGGGCAGCTGCTGGAAAAATGATTGATAGTTTTGGACCTGGCTTGGAACCTGACAATCCGGAGTTATGAGGTTTGAAATTCCGGAAACTTGAGGTTCTGGAGGCTCTGGACAAGGGGTTGAAGTGTAAGTAACAAAATGCAGCTTGGATTAGGACCTTCAACTAAATACTTACTGCTTGCCATGCTTTTCAAAGCAAATTAATTAGGTTTAGCTGCTCTACCTACTTATTCTCAGAATTATGTTCTTTGGCCGCGCAACTTCGCGCAGTTAAGGCCCCCCAAATGAATCAGGGGGTACTGAATAATTTCGGCGAAACTTCGCACAATTGAGACCCCCCCGGGTCACAACATTAACTGTCGTCGCGTTTGCACCTTCTGATCCACGTTGAGTGTTTAAGCGTGGGCAGTCACGTAGAGGCTCCAGAGATTGTAAACGAATGTAAATTGCAGCATTGGGAGTGCAGCTAGAGCTTACAAATACTGTAAGTTACAGCATTGGGAGCTCATCTAGAGCTTGTAGACTGTAAATTACAGCATTTGAACCTCTTTCCAACTTGCAGATATTGTACATTGCAGCATTTAAACCTGCTTAAAGCTTTCAGATACTGCATATCATAGCACACCAGCTCTGAATTTTAGAACTTGCCGATGTATGTTTTAAATCACAGCATATACGGAGATTTTCATGTGCACAGTTGGATGGCGCACCCCCCCCGCCTACAAACAATATGATCCCTGTAATCCTCCCTCACCCTCCCTTACGGCCAACATGGCGATGACATGATTTTTCTACCCTGAGCATGGGTGGCTTTGAAAAAAAAGGAGGGCTTTGGGGGCCGCAACCCTCAATCCCCCCCCCACCCCCGCCCGTTTGCAAACAAAACATGATCCGCACAACCTTCCCATACCGCCAACATTGGTGATGACGTGATGTTTGTTTTTCTTTGCAAGCATGGATGGCTTTAAAAAGTCGGTGGGGAGGGGTTGGGGGGCGCAGCCCCTCCAGCTGCAAACTAAATGATCCGCGCAGCCTTCCCCGATTAGTGTGGTGGGGTGCAACAAAGGAGATCTTTCAGAAAATTGTTCTGGACCCCCTATTTGATTTAAAGTAGAAGTTGCTTTGCCTAACTAATTTTCTGGATCTGAAGGTAACAAAAATAGCTGAAGAGCTTTGTAGTTCCTCTACTGATTTTAAAAGGGCCTGAAGGATCCCTCTTCTCTTGGTAGTTTTGATAGGACTAAAAGGAGCTATAGGATCATGCGCACCCCCAATTCTTTTTGAAGACTTTGCATCATAGACGCTTCCCTTTTGTTTGGGGTCTTGATTGGAACAAGTGTTTGATTGGAAAAACGTTTTTTGACACGTATCCCAGTCTCCTGACCTTCCACAGCAATGACCAAGCATGTCTTACAGCCATGCATTTTCACTGCGTGAAGGCATGTTGCCAGCGGGGGGCTCCGGGAACAGAATCAGACTCAGACTTGAACTGAAGTCAATGCCGAGGCCACCCAGAAGTTCAAAGCCCCAATCTGGAGCCGTAACACCAACACTAGTCACATAGCTCTCTATTGCTGCAACGCAACCGACAAGCCGAAACTGTATGTAGTTGGCTCAATGAGGCCTAGCCAGTTTGGGCTCATCTACAGGCAGTTCCACTGGGGAACCTGTCAAGCGAACCAGTTTTGTTGGAAGCAGCAGTCCAGCCATACATCGCCGTAGGGGATGTAAAGCAATGTTGCAACATTCTGTGCATGTGGGTGCTGCGGCTATACAACATTATTTTGATAACGGCAAGGTGACATCATTTTGGCGCGTGAAGCCGGCCCTGGAAACAATGCTCAAGAACACGATTTGGTGCAGCGGTGCTGTACGTGAGCATTGAAAGCAGCGTGTGCGCCGTTTTGAAGGCGGGCTTGGCATTGGCACGTGATCTAGGAGAGGTGAACACGTTCGATGCATGAGAAAAAACTCATCTTGCCATAGAAGCTGCGCGCGTCATGAGAAACTGAGGGAAGGTAGTGAAATTGATGAAAATGGCGAAAGCATGAGGAAATATGGAGAAGGATGCTGCAAATCTACTTTAAAAATACTCACGTGCAGACAGCGATTACACGTCATGGAAACTTACGAAAAGAAATGTGAGATCAAGTGTGATGGAAAATGATGAAGCATCTGAAACATGATGGAATGCGACAAAAAGCCATGGAAACGACGGAAATGATGGACAAGCAGAATGAGACATGATGAGCACATTTTTTGTGGTGGAGAACGGACATGCGATGAAACTTAGGAAATCTTAGGAAGAATGACTGAACATGAGGAGAAATGAAAAATATAACACATGATGAGATTGAAGTGTGATGAGACATTCAAATGATGGAATAGAATGAGCGCTATCGACCTTCCCTCCTCCTTTCCTCCGTTCTTCGGTGCTTCATTCTTCTTTCCTTTTTGCCCTGGCAGGGGAAGAAATCATCCCTTTGATTTCTCTCTGGTAGGCTATTTTGACCTTGTATCGATCCTTAATTATTAGACTTTGCCCTGATCTTAATAAAAATTTTCGGTTCCGGGCCTAAACATGCACGCTGCGTTTTCAACCGTTTTCGTGAGTTTGAGACCTAAATGAGCTTTGATGTATTAAAGAATTCTCCGATTCTGGTTCTTGATTTTGTGCACCTACAACCTTTACTAAATGAGCTTTGAGTTATCAAAAGGATTCTCCGATCCTGGACGTATGATTTTCTCCATGTGAATGTCTTACTGAAGTAGCTTCTAACAATTCGATGAATTCTCAGCTTCTGGGCCAGTGTTTTCTGTCTAGACCCCTTACTACATGAGATTCGATTCACTTAGGCAATTCTCAAATCCTGTGTTAGGGATGCCCTCTATAAATCCATTGTCAATCAAGCTTCGATTCACGTGGGGCAATTCTCGCATTCGAGGATCCTGCTTTTCTCTCGAAGCTTCTCATATTTGAATTCTCAGGTTCCGGGCCCCTGATTCTAAATATAGACATCACTGCTTAATGAAACGTCTGCTTATATACTTACCAAGCTTCAAGAAACTAGTGCACTTCCTGAGCATCTAAATAACTTCTGGTGTTAGTTTCTAATAGCTGTAAGAATCCCTTGATCTGGGGTTCTTGATTTTCTCAACAATGAATTTGATTTATTCGAGAATTCGCAAATCCGGGGCTCCTGATTCTCTCGGTCCAAATCATCGAACAACAAGCTTCCAACACTGTAGGATTTCTTTACATCCTGGGCTCCTGATTTCCTCTGTGTAAATGTCCTCATGAATAGGCTTCGAATGATTAAATGGCTTGTCAGGTCCTGGGCTCCTGATTTTCTATGTAAATCTACTCTATGAGCTTCGAGTTGTTAGAGAATTGTCAGATTCTGGTTCTTGATTTTCTTCTTTCATAACCTTTACTAAGTAAGTTTCGAATTATTAAAAGGATTCTCAAGTCCTGGGCTAATGATGAATTCTCAGATTCTGGGCTATTGCTTTTCTGCATAGACCCCCCTTACGAAATACGATTCGATTTATTTGGGCAATTCTCAAACCCTCTGTTAGGGAATTGTCTCTTTAAATCCATGATGGAACAAGCTTTGATGTATGAGGGTAATTCTCACATCAGAGGCTCCTGATTTTCTCTCAAAGCTTCTGATAATGGGGTGAATTCTCAGATCCTAGGCTCCTGATTTGCTTTATGTAAATAAACTCCTCATGAAATCAGCATCTGCTTAGTTAGGGCTGTTGGATCCTGGGCTCCTCATTCTCTCTACATAAATCCGGTTAATAAGCTTTGAGTTATTAGGTGAATTTTCAGATCAGGGGCCCCTCATTGTCCTTATATAAACACGTGGAATGTGGTTTAAATTTAGATTTTCGTCAAGGTGTTGAAGAAGGTGGGTGATTTCTATCAGTTGTCTATTTAAAAGATGTGCAATCCCAAATTTAAGCAACTCATCCTGGTCTTCGAGGGAAGACCGGGGATTGAGGGGTTGGGGTTTACAGAGTAGTATACATAAAACGATGAATAACCAAACCGGAGAAAAAAAGAAAGAAGAAGAAGAAGAAAAAAAAACGAAACCAAAAAAAACACAATGTTCTGGGCGTCAT